GACATTTTTCGTGAGGTACTTAAGCGGGTTTTACTGTATAGATGCATTCATATTTATCTAAATTAGGATATCGGCAAATTGTACATATGTATGTCTGTATATAAGCAAACTTCAAATTTATACAAAGCAAAGCAAAGCACACTAAAGAATACAATGCAAATCAGGGTTGCCACTGAAAAACTTTCTTTCCTACCAAGAGCGGGTTCAAAAACCTACCAAAATGGCTTCTTTCCCCCATTTCTTTTAATCAAGGAAACGGCGTTTGACTGCATTAAACACATTTATTTCTTCTACTTTTTAAGTATACTTAAAATAAGGCATCCAGTAAATAAAAAGATCAGAATATACATATAGCACACACAAAAAATTGGTGTGTGCTTTTAAGCAGACACATCTACCGACACGTATTTCGACCCACTGAACCCGAATCTGAGGTCCTTTGATTTCTAAACCCTCAAAATTTCGAGTAAGTTGTGAAAAACCGAAAAAAGAGGCAAACAGTTCTGAGTTTATAGTTTTAATAAAATCTTCGGAGGAAATGACGTGAAAAATCGTAGCGGAAAATAAAATTCCGTTATAGATTTTTTTATCGCTCATTTGGATACATATATATATTAAGAAGTATACAGTACATATACATATTGCTACCTAAAGCTGAAAGGTGCCAATTCCACTTTTTTTAATTTAGTTTGTGATGCAGAATGACAACAAATGACTCCTGAACAAATTCAAAAAATGGACTTGGCACCTTTTCACCTTTAGGTAACGATATATTCATTAGTAATGTAAAAATAAAATTCACTGTTAGGCTTGCCAAATGTCTGGGTCTAGGAGCCTCCGGGTTTGGAACAAAATCTGCGCGCTGATGGTTTGATATTAATTTCTTCGAATTACGGTATATTTAGATACGCAGTGGGTTCCGAAGGTAATTCTGCCTATACTAGTAAGCAACGAGGTTTTTAAATGAATGAAGGTATTGGCCCAATGCAGGCTTGCTTCGCTTGCCTCGCTTTGAGAACTGTCAAAAGTTATTTGGAATATACTAAAATGTATGAAGGCTGGGCAAATGGCAGCTTTGCTTCACTTGCTTTAAGCGCCTCAAAGTTTCAAATAGGCAAATGTTTTATTTGAAAGCGTTTCGTAGGCTTTTGACAAAAAGGTATGTTCCCGTTCTAAATCAATTCAAACAAACTGCTGCACACTTTTATGAATAAAACTTTTCTAACGTAATTAAAAAAAATATATATAATATAAGTTATTCAAAGTTTAGTAAAAATCATTATATGTTTCCGTATTTATATTTAACATATCGCTGGCTGAAAAGTTGTTAAGTCCATTTTTAAAAATTTTACAGGAACTTTGAATACAACATTTTGCGTATTTAAAGCAAAGCAAAACTCCATACGAATCAAAAGGATTCGATCTTTATTAAAAGATTTCGTACTATTTTGGCCTTATCGGATTTTCTGGGCCTCTCCTGGACTTAGAAAATTTGCCTTTCATTGAATATAAATACAAAAAATAGACCAAGTACATTAATCCTTAATTTCTCTTGCTAGCTAGCGATATTTATGATGTCAAACTACTGGTCAGTCGTCTCTTGAAAAATAGTTTTTTTTTGTTTTTAATAAATGTACCTATAGTTATATACGTATAATTATTATCATTCCTTTGAAATGCATTCAAATCCGCATCAATTTAAAAATAAATCTGAAAAGAGGGTTTGTATTTTTTTAGTTTTCTGGAATTTTGTGGGAAAGTTATTCTTAGTGTAAGGGAACAACCTTAATTTTTTAACTACACAGCTGGAAGCTTTGACAGCGTTCCATACGAATTTTTAAAGTAAATTAAAGTAAGTAAGGCGTGCAAAGCAAGCTTGCATTGGGCCAGCGCCTTGAGCGTGAAATTGATATTGTCAAAATGTGGAAAGCCTACTCACAGTGCTGACAAAAGGACACATTACAACAAGCCAGAGTTGTTTTCTGCTTTATAAGCAACGAAACCTCCCAAAATTCAAGGGTCCTACTATCCTACCAACAAGAAAAAAATCCACCAATTTCGGTAGGAAAAGCCCAAAATGGCAACTCTGATGCAAATATGATAAGTGAAGAATACGAAAATATGAATCCAGTCACAATGGATAATAGGGTAAGCGGGCGTTGTGTGATAGCCCCACCCCCGTGCATCCACTTGATTCACTAACTTTAACATCCAGGACGGACAGCTTGGACACGGTTCGCCGCTTCACTCCGCAAGTTGTGCGTACGTCGGCTTGCGGAATTTGACCGTCTCGGCCAGAGTATACTTCCTCTACTACGCCACGACACCATTCTCTCCGCGGCACGTTGGGATCACAGAGGAATACCAGATCTCCTCTCAGTTCTTTGGCACCACTTTAAGCTAGGCACTAACAGCGAACAAATCCGTCTGATCAAGTGATTTTACCATCATGCTCGAAGCATATAACTTACCAGCATGCTGCTACAATATTCATTTCTTTACAAATGAGGTCAAGGAAAGATCGAAATGATTAGAGCCGAAATTTCATAATTTTTGTACCATTTTGTTAAACATTTTATTTTTATTTTTATTCACAACTGCAGTATCGGGAACTTAATCCTCCACACACACGGCTTTGATTTAAACGGCTAAAAATTAATAAATAAACATAATATAATTTTGGATTTGGTACAAAATTATATGTCCAACTTTGACTCTTTAAACTATTTAATTCTTGTAAAAATGACAT